CATATGTTTATATATCTTATTATTTGACATGATAGTTAGATATTATTTTATACTTTTATATAGTAGAAACTACTTTAAATTTGGCAGGATTCATAGCTGCTGAGGAACTTTGTTGAAATGGCAAGAAAAGACAGAGAAATTCTAGTCAAGGTGAGCTTTTTTATGATTCTTCGAATCAACAAAAACAACAAATCGGAAGTATGTCAATGCCTCAACCGTCCCAAAATTGGCCACAAAATGAAGGAGATGAATCACATGATACAAAAAATCTTCCAGGTATTAAATATCATGATATTTATTCTTCCTTTCACCGTATAAAGTAGTTAGATAATTTTTATATAAATAATAAATTTGCCTCTTTTTATCTTTTTATTATTTATAGATTCAGAGCAACAAAAACAACAAATAGGAAGTATGCCAATGCCTCAACCACCCCAAAATTGGCCACAAAATGAAAGAGATGAATCACATGATACAAAAAATATTCCAGGTATTAAATATCATGATATTTATTCTTCCTTTCATAGTATAAAGTAGTTAGATAGAAACTACTTTAAATTTGGCAGGATTCATAGCTGCTGAGGAACTTTGTTGAAATGGCAAGAAAAGACAGAGAAATTCTAGTCAAGGTGAGCTTTTTTATGATTCTTCGAATCAACAAAAACAACAAATCGGAAGTATGTCAATGCCTCAACCGCCCCAAAATTGGCCACAAAATGAAAGAGATGAATCACATGATACAAAAAATCTTCCAGGTATTAAATAGCATGACATTTATTCTTCCTTTCATAGTATAATGTAGTCAGATAATGTTTATATAAATAATAAATTTTCCTCTTTTTATCTTTGATTATTTATACATTCTAATGAGAGTGAAGAGCAATCTAAGCGAACTAGGGGTCCCACTATGATGCACTCGGGATGGGGGAAAGATGGTGGAAATTTACATATTGAATTGAATGAACATGGTCAGGTCATTGGGTCAGAAGGAACTAGATTGAGTTCAAAACTTGGTGTGCTAGCACGAAATGGCATCTTAGCGCCACTGAATCATAAAGATTGGAGGCTTGTACCTAGTATGTACAAGGATAGAATATGGGCTCATATCAAGGTTCTTAGTATACACAAAACCTATATACTAAGATGTTTTTGTTTTTATATTTTATTTTATAAAAAGTTGTGTATTAAATATATGTACAGGAAAATTCTGACGCAACTGATGACATGAAACGTATACTGATGATGTCATTTGTATCTAAATGGAAAGAATCAAAGCATGAAGCAAAAAACCATTGGATATGACCCATATAACACTGATATTGAGCGTTTAGCTCATTGTCCAGATAGAGTTGAAGAAGATCAGTGGCGTTCATTAGTTCATTATTGGAGCTCAAAAGCAGCAAAGGTATGTGCTAGATTTCTATTTCTACATTTGCTCTACTAAATGAGAATTTCATAGAAGTTGTCATAAATTATTAAAGTCGTGTTTCCCCTGATTATACTTCTTATTGTAGAACAACTAGAAGTTCTTTCGGATTTGCCCCTTTCTTCTAATTGGCAAAAATAATGTTGTTGTACATGTCCAGTTTGCCAACCTGCACAAAATGTTCTTGTATAGAAATTGATTGCACTTTGTGAAACTCAACTATGCTGCTTTTTTATATTTTTTCTTGGCTATTTCTTTTATATATTCAAGATTGCGCATGTCCTCTTATATATTGTTGTGTTCAAATTTCTAGGAAAAGAGTGAGAGAAACAAAGAAAGTCGAAAAAAATTGACTATGCCACACACATCAGGGAGAAAAAGTCATTCTCAAATTATAGACGATGTACGAAGTAATCACTATTTATTTTCTATAATTTATATATTAAACAATACTTATCGTGAATATTTAATGCCAATCTCTTACTATTCAAACATATAACAAAGATGAATAATGGTGTAAAGCCAACTCGTATTGAGGTGTTAAAAAAAACTCACATTAGAGCGAATAAGAACCAGTAAATGAGATAGCTGGTGAAGTTATGGTAAACTCTTACTCTTTAAAAATATATAGGTACTTTCTTTCTATTACAATTTTTTTTTAAAAACTTCTCATTACTTTACCTTTCTTTCAAAAAGAAACAAATGGATGATCTTGCCGAGGTGTATCCTGAGTTGAATGTCCCTGGAAGTGCTCCTAATGATGTGTACTCCCAAGTAATGGGATCAGACAATGTGTACTCCCAAGTAATGGGACCAGACACTTATGGAATTGTCTGAACTCTAGGAAACGGAGCATCTCCTAGCTTAGTATATGGCCCCGTATATAAACGATCTCAAGCTGAAAAAAGAGATATTGATACAAGGGTTGAGATGGATGTTCAAAAAGCTACCTCATCTATGAAAATTGAGATGACAGAGAAGATGTATGAAGCAAAAAAAGAGATGGAAGCGATGGATAAAAAGTTGTTAGAAGCGAAAGAGGAAGCAAAAGAGAATAACGAAGTGATGGAGAGAAAATTATCGGAAGCAAAAATGGATATGGAAGAAATTATAGCGGATAAAGTGAAGGAAGGAATACAAGCATATGTAGAGTCTTTGGGAATTAATATTGATGCAAATTTAAAATCAGAGCAGGTGAAATAATTGTGTTGCTCACAAAAAAATACTTTTGAAAAGCAGAGCAGGTGAAATAATTGTGTTGCTCACAAAAAAATACTTTTTTTAGATGAAAATTTAGTTTCTCTCATGTATAATAGTCTTCCTCTTTTGCAACAGGTTCCTGATAACCCACTTAAAGATTTTCAACAACCATCATCAGTTGTTCCAGGTGTTCACACAAGAAAGGTTAGAGAAATTTCATTAAAATTTTGAATTTTATTTTAAATGCGTAAATCCTAACATTTATATGATCACAAGATCAACTAATTCCTCTTTCTTGTTTAATATGGATTAATCGACAAACTGTTAATTGCGCGTCATGTACACATAAACAGTCTAAGTGATCATCGTTTTCTTTTGGTTGTTGTTGTTGTTGTTGTTTTTCAGTTGGTATAGTTAAATTATAAACTATGTTAATTTATCATATTATTACCAACTGGTCTAATGATCATTGTAGTCTTGATCCGTGTATTAGTTATCTATTTAGTTGCATCACTACCCTTGCAATGATAGAGCTATATGTAACTTCATACATGAATAATATTTCATTAGGATCAGATAAGTATGTATAGTTATAACCATTCCAAGATGTGTCACGAGATGGTGCATTAGGAAAGACTCGAACATTCCATGGTCCAGCTCTGTAGAGTTCAATGGAACCATTCATAATGAATGTTTGCATGAATCCACCAGTATCGAATGTCCAGGTAAACTCACCTCTGGAAGGATCATTTGTGCTCTTCCATTACGAAAGGGAACGATGAAAACTAGTTTTTAGATTAATCCCAACCTTCATTCCAGGTAAAGTTGTGTCACCTGGATTGTCAAAACTTTGCCACAGGTAGTTTTGAGTCTTATCCTCGGCTGCATCTCGAACAACAAGAATGTCTGAATCAAGGAGTTGTGCTACTAGATTTTTCCCATGTCTAGTGGAATCGGAGGACCAAATTACTCTGCCAGAACCATTTAGAAAAGTAAGAATTCCTTGTCTGGTAAAATTTAGCGCACTGGATGTGTCATTGAGTGGATTTTCTCTATTACAACTTAGAACTTGAGACTAAATGAGTTATACGAAGATTTTAGTACTACAACAACTACTACGTCTCAATCCAAAGCAAGTTGTAGTAGGTGGACGGCTAGCTAAAACTAGTCATTTTATGATGAATCCTCGGAATACTCATATAAAGATGTTAATTCACTAAAATGTACCTGGGAGGAGCTGATTGTAACCGCTGTGACCACCATGAAGTCTTGCCAACACACCGATCAACGGAGCATTGTTGTAAGTGGCAGCTCAGTTTGCTCATAGTTATCTCTTTGATCAGTCAAGTAGTCATAGGCATCAGGTCCACCAATAAGAGCACCAGTAAGGAGATTAGGATTGCTCGCCTTTTTTACTATACCAGGTAGCATAGCCTGCCCGGCAGCTAACGAAACTAGGATTAACCTTAAACGAGACAATGGAGGAAGCTCTGTGGTGTATTTGTCTTGGGTTATTGTTTCCATATCCCACAATGTAACTTGTTGCTCTCGGGTTGTCACCAAGAATGTAGTCCACCTAGAACAACATCAAACATGATGATTAGTTCACCAAGAATACATTGCCAGTTCCATGCTTCAATTTATGATGAATCGTCATAATACAGGCTTGTAGCACTGTATCAAAGTTAAAATCTTTACCTGAGACTTAGAGAATGACAGAAGCTCATTCGGAGAAACAGAACCAGAAGAACACTTGAGGTATTTGCCAGCAGAGGCCAAATAGTCAGAATAAGTAGTGGCAAGGAATGCAACACTAGTAACAAAATACATATTGTTCCATATTTGCCTATAGATGAGACCTCCAGGAGTTTTCTGGGTATTTCTGTCACCCTTTATTTTTTCTTTTAATTTAAATTTTTGTGGTCTGAGGACCATTTTATTTAGCTGAAATTGGCCAAAGACCCATGTCCAAAACAAACAAAAGAAAAAAATAGGCCCAAAGACCCAGTCCAAAGCAAAAAAGGAGTGTAGTCCTTCTGTCAGATTCTTCTGTTGATTGTTGAGAAGAGTTCAACAATCTTTGTCCCTTTTCATTCCCATTTATTGATGCTTTCGTTTTGAATGGCCTTCTCCACTCTCTTTCATGTGTTGCTGCTGGTGAATGTTCCTTGAAGTCTATCCTTAGTATTTGTTGCTCTCCTATCGGGTATGGACCAGAACATGAAATGTGCCAGCAGATCTGGAAGAATAGGTAATCTTCGATCTCCATTGTTGCCATCCATGTTTCTTTGTCTTCCGCATTGTCTGATGGTGTGCTCACCAACTGTAATGACTTCCTTGTGAACAATCTGCTATAGTTATGTATGGTGACGTCAAGTATTCGATGGGTTATGTGACTGTTGCTGCTTGTCTTGTGCCTTAATATATCAAATATTTTGTAATTGTATGTCCTCATTGTTCCTGCCGTTGTATGTTGATATATTGTCACCCTTTGCAAGACATGAACACATAAAGTTCTTTGTTTTCTGTTGGTACTTCTCAAATACAGGTGCATTATGACCAGCTTTGCTAGACATCAAGAACTGCCAACACATAATACCAATTATTTAATCATTGCGACTTCTGATATGATAATTGTTCATTTCTAGTATGTTTTAATGTTGTTTCTGTGTATATATGGAGTTTTACTGTTTGTACAAGTTTGTGTAGTATTATTTGAGTTGCATTAAGTCATCTTCCTTCAACAACATTTCTGGAGTACGCATGAAATCAGTCTCTGACTTTTGACGCCTTCTCACTAATTTCTCAAACCATCTATCCGAACCATTGTCTCTGGTGTCCTGTGTTGATAGATGATTTGCAGGAACTCCATTCTCTGACATAAAACCTTTATCTACACTTTTAGATTTTCTCTGACGACTAATACCTCCTCAGTATTACAAATACAAGTTTGATCCTCTTGCTCTATGTGTTGTTGTATTTCTATAGATAATAAGGTATCGAATTGAGTTTCCTCTGTACTTGTTGGACCACAAAATATCTCCCCATCTTTGGAATTGGCATCAACATCACCTTCACAACCATCGCAAACACACAACTTGTGATTTCAGCAACTACCACCTTTTTCGTCTTGCAATCTGGCTCATCCAATTCACTTCAGTTTCCCAGTCTTGTATTTGTCTTATGTGCCCCAACCATTGTAGCATACAATTCCATATCTTCTTGGTCACACTACATTCAAAGAATAAATGTGAGAATGTTTCTAAGTGTTGGCTACAAAAGACAATCAGGGAGGACAGTGATTCCAAATTTCTGCAATCTCTCAACTGTTGCTAGTCGTTTCTGTATAGCCAACCATAGAATTAATTTATATCTAGGATGTATCTTTGGATGTAAAGCAAGATGTTTCCAGGCTACTTTGGGATGAACATGCATTAAATTTACATACATCTTCCGGATTGAAAATATATCCCCAAGTTGGGCTTTAACAAGTTGTTGAATTGTCCCATGGCTTCCTAGTCTGTTTATTAACTGATCTCTAGATTTCCAGTACCTTCCTCACAACCCAGGAAGGTATCTTTGTCCCAACACTAGATGTTTGTTTTGTTGAAGCAATCATATATCTTCCTTTTTATTTCCTTCTGGAAAAATTGGTACACTTATGTATTCAATGAAATGTTAAGTTTTGTATTTTGTAAAGTATCAAATAATCAATTTAATGTTTTTTCTCTAGGCTAACATGATCAAGAAGACTGGAACTACCGTAGTTGGCACAAATAAAAAGAAGTGGGTATGTTTGAAAAAACTACAAGATCTTTCTTTTTTTTTAAAAGGAGGAAAATTTCATGTATATAATTACTGCTTTTGCATCAATTCCTTAATATGTTTGTTTTTACAAAATTCAATTAGTCATTTTTGATATCTCAATTTGTTCTATTTAACTAGGATATAATTTCTATTATTATATAGTTATAAATTTTCTTATGTGCAGAATTTTCAAGGAAAATGAGGTCAAGTATCGACTTCAACGTGCACGACTTTTGGATTGATGATTTCATAAAGATTTATTGCAAATTTACTGGAGATTTTAATTCTATTTGAATTAGGAGTTAATTAGTTAGTTTTATGTTGAGATTATTACATTTAGTTAGATTTCAATTTTACCTGAGATAAAAAACAATTGTTTTGACATTGTTTACTTTTACAGAAAACTTATTATATTGCTATTTTGTTCTTTGATTATAATATTAGAAAATATTTGTTTTATATAATATTTCTTGCTTATCATGAAGAAGATAGTTTTGAATGCACAAATTGTTTGTATGTATTTGTGTCTTGAGAAAAAATATATATAGATTTTTCTGGGATGTTTAAGAAACTTGGTAGCGACATTAGAATATTAATATGACATTTAGCAAAATATAAAATAATGTCACCAATTTTTATGACATTCAATAATAGCATTTGTTGACACTAACTAAAGTGTCAGAAATTTTGATGTGACATTTATACACAAGTGTCTTCAAATTTGTTTTACCATCATTTAATTTAAATGTCAGAAAGTGTAAGTGATATTTCATAAATGTCGAAAAAATAAATGTCATATATCTCATATTGACATTTACTTAAATGTCAAAATTAAATGTCATATATTTCATATTGACATTTACGTAAATGTCAAAAATAAATGTCATATGTCTCATACCAACATTTACCTAATTATCGAAAATAAATGTCATATATATTTCATACCGACATTTAACGAAATGTCGAAAATAAATATCTTATATCTCATATTGACATTTACCTAAATATCGAAAATAAATGTCATATATCTCATACTGACATTCACCTTAAATGTCAACAATAAATGTCATATATTTCTTATCGACATTCACATAAATGTCAAAAGATAAATGTCGTAATAAATCTTACCAACATTTACATATATGTTGCAAAGTACATGACGCAAATTCTTTTCAACATTTACCTAAATGTCACAAATTCTTCCCGACAATTACCTAAATGTCGGAAAAAATTCTCGAACACTAAAATTTACGACATTTGGTCCAAATGTAAAATAAATGTCAGTAAACAAATTGTGACATTTAAACATAATAATACGACATTTAGAAAATGTCGTTGTATCTCCACTTTCTTGTAGTGGAAGGAAATCATCACTTACTTTGAGTGTCGGCTCATCAATGCATTAAGCACCATCAAAACCACTAATGCCGAGATTGAAACGCTCAAGGGAGGAATTAAAAATGGAGGATATGTGACGTCTGATGGAGATATGGAGGCTAAGATTGAGATTCCCAAGACACATATGTTCAAAGGCGCTTGTGAAACACAAGACGTAGGGTATTTCCTTTGGAATTTGGAGAATTACTTCAAGTGCAACAAAGTGAAGAGCGTACAGAACAATATCAACATTGTTGTATAGTACCTCTCACAGACAGACATGTTTTAATGGAAGCGAAAGGAGTCCGAGATAGGGAATGGGCTTTTCACAATCAAAAATGGGAGAAACTCGAAGTAGAGGTAAATAAGACTTTCTTCCCCAACAACGTAATCTATGAGGCAAATCACAAGTTTAGGGAGTTAAAGTAGATATGTAACATACGAGCATATGTGAAGGAGTTCACCACTCTGAAGCATCATATTCCCAACCTCACGGATGAAGATATTTTGTTTCACTTCATGGATGGGCATTAAAATTGGGCTAGAGTAGAGCTAGAGAGCCGAATGGTTAGGACTATTGATGAAGCCATCATGCAATCCAAAACTTTTATAGTTTTAAGCATGAAAAACGAAGAGGAGAAGAGATGAGAGATAGTAATGACCAAGGTGGGGGGTTATCATGGTTAAAGTGTGGAGCAAAAACCACATCCAAAGAATCATGACACCTATAAGTTTGAGAGAAACAAGTTTGGACGTCAAAGTAATGCTGACATGAAGACATGGACTATAAAGGGAAATGGTTACTACATATACGATGAGCCGCATTACTATGAGAGATGCCCTGGACTAAAGAACCTTGGTGCCATATTACACAAATGGAAGGAGAAATATGCATAAGAACCAGGGCAAGGTTCAGATGCTACATAGTTGGGCCTATTGAATTATGCAGAGCTATCGCAAAGCAATCAGAGAAGCCGAAAGAATATGGTGCACAATATGTAGACATCATAATCAATGGATGACCCGCTCGTACTATGGTCGACATATGTGCAGAGGCCATATTTGAAGTGGGTGTCATTGATTTGCGAATAATGGTGTTAATTTGAAGTGGGTCTGAAATGCTGCTGTGTTTTGAGGTCGTCTTGCATGATTAGTATAACAAGTTCAGTGTTTTGTGCTTGCTCGAGAGAGAAGTACAGAGCCAAAGCAGCAAATTTAGCATCCTTAGTAGTGGGTCACCATGATTTCACCTTGAGAGAGTGAAACGTGGAATCTATCATTTGTATCTAGCTCGAGAGAGTAGATTTGATGAGGAAGAGGGATGGGCATCTTCCATCTAGTGTTGAAGTTCGAGAGAATTTGACAAAGATAAGGTAACAATTCGAGAGAAAATTTCCTTACATATAGTCCGACCTACCAATGACAATTTCTCCTATTGTGAGCATCAATGTTCATCCACTAAGTTGTATTGAATAATTGGTTGTTGAATTCCCCAAGTGTTATCTCTCTATTTGATCGTTTAGTGTTAAGTGTTGAATTGGATTTATAATTATAACCTGAAATTTGAAGTTTAAACCAAAAAGGTGCAGTAAGTGTTTAGTTGAAGATATTGTTGTCATACTTCTATAATTGAATTTGAAGGAAAAGCTACTCTCTGTGGGATCGATCCCAACTCATTTAGTTGGGTTACATACTAACTAGCGATCGTTGACACTTAGAACTGGATGAAGTGTCCTTGAAATGTTAATCAAATGGCACCGCTACTGGGGAGTAGCGTTACTTCGAATTCTTTGATCGAACATTTGATTTGTGATTTGGTTGGTTGTAGTTGAATTGGCTTAGGTTGCATTGTGTAATGTTGGTTGAACTACATAGAAGTAAAAATGAGTGAGGAAGAGGTGAATGGTAGCTAAGCAGGTCATCGGGATGATATCGTTGATGTCAATAGTGTTTACAATCCATCTCATTCAGGTGAAACAGGTGCAATTTGCATACCACAAGCTTATGGGAATGCAGTATTTGAGGTCACTAGCAAAACTCCTCATCTCCTCCAGATGCGAGGACTCTATGGAGGGTTAGAACACGAAGACCCGCATGAGCTTGTAAATTTTTTTACAGAGGTGTGCAACCTGTTGTCATTCAAGAATGTATCACAAGATTCAATCTGGCTTCTGTTATTTCCACAATCTTTGACGGAGGAGGCTAGCAAGTGGTTGGCCAAGTTACCAAACAATTCCATCACATCATGGGAGGAGTTGATTATAGCATTCAATACAATATTCTTTCCCCCATCAAGTATGATGAAGCTTAGAGATGTCATTCAAGGTTTCAAGCGATGGGAGAGTGAACCTATCCATGAAACGTGGGTGAGGTTTAAGCAACTCTTACTTAAATGCCAGACTCACGGGCTACCAAATTATTTACTACTCCAATATTTTTACCGAATTCTTGATTCAGTTAATAAAGGGGTGGCTGATCAATTGGTACGAGGGGGAATAATGTTCCAATCATTTGAGGTGGCTTCATTTCTTCTTGATGACATGACTAAAATAAATCAAGCGTTGTAAACCCAAGAGGATCAAGTGTCCCCATTTTGCTTTAGAATGAAACAAGAAAACCTTGATAAGGAAACATAGAGGGATGAAAACATCAAGAAGATGTTGACCCAAATGGAACTATTAGAAGAGAATATGATGGAGAATGTGGAAAAGCCCAAGGGGACGAATGGAGTGTTTAGAGTTGAGGAGGGTTCTTCCTCCGGCTATTCAAAGCCGGGGGAGAATCGAGGTTGGAAATCCAAGAGATACGAGGAGGGTTTCCACCCACACTATTTGAAGAGAATATGATGGAGAATGTGGAAAAGCCCAAGGGGACGAATGGAGTGTTTAGAGTTGAGGAGGGTTCTTCCTCCGGCTATTCAAAGCCGGGGGAGAATCGAGGTTGGAAATCCAAGAGATACGAGGAGGGTTTCCACCCACACTATTTACAGCGGGGTGGGAATCAAGGTTGGAACTATCACAAGCAGGAAGAGCAAAAAAGATACTATCAAGATTAGGCCAAGCAAAGTGACTATTGTAAAAGGGAGGAGGATCATGAAGAGGACCACACTCATTCAAGTGAGAGCCCAAAACCGAGAGGCAGTGCAAGTAGTCCATGGGTGAATGATTTGCAGTCACGTATCCTTGATGCAGTCGAATGTTCGGATGACTTGTTAAAAGGGATAAAAGCCGACTTTTCATCATTCACTAATAAAGTGAACTCTCACGCAGATGCAATCAAGATAGTTGAAGGTCAGTTGAGTTCACTCTCAGCACAATTGAAGCAAAAAATGATTATGAAAGATGATGATACAGAGCTGGTCGTAGTTACTCAAATTGGAAAGGTAGAAATAGGCGATGTGACCGGAAATGAAGAAGGTCAAATGCATGAAGAAGACAAAGGGATGAGGAAGAAGAGACACATATCAATCAAAGCATTGCCAAAGGACCACAAAAGGACATGGAGAAACACAATCAAAGCCCAAAAGTTATGTAACTTTAACCCAAAATATCCCCTCCATTTCCTCAATATCTAAAGAAGAAGAATGAGGATGAGAAGTTCAAGAAGTTTTTATCGGTGTTCAATACATTATCAATTAATCTCCCTTTAGTGGAAGCATTGTTGGAAATGTCGGTGTACGCTAAGTGTATGAAGTAGTTAGTCACAAAGAAAAGGAGTTTGAATTTTGAGACAATCAAAGTCTCCCATAGTTGTAGTGCAATTATGACGAAGGAGCTGATAAAAAATAGAGAAGATCTCGTAGCGTTCACCATCCCTTGCACCATCGGCATGCTCCATTTTGCTAAAGCCCTATGCGATTTGGGAGAAAGCATCAACCTAGTGCCATATGCAATCTATAAACAACTTGGGTTGGTGGAACCAACAGCCACAACAATGAGAATCTTGATGGAGGACCGATCAGTTAAACATCCTGTAGGGATACTATATGACATCTTGGTGAAAATTGACCGATTTATTTTCTCGGCTGATTTTGTCATTCTCGATTGTGAAATAGATTTTGAAATTCCCATCATTTTGGGAAGACCATTCTTTGCAATCGGAAGAGCATTGGTGGATGTTGAGAGAAGAGAATTGAAGCTTCGGGTGAATGAAGATGTAGTAACCTTCAATGTATGTAAATCAATGAAACACCCAAGTGATATTCACGTGGTCTCCACTGTTGATGTTATTGATGAGGTGGTGGCTTGTGTTAGCCATTTGATGTGTATGAGTGAGCCACTTGAAGCCGTGCTTGCTAACTATGATGAGTTTGAAATTCAAGGCTATGAAGAGGTAGTAGCAGCTCTATCATGTTTGGGGGGGGGTACTCAAATACTCTGTTGAAATTGGACATTGATTTAAAAGATTGAGAAAGTCCCCGCAAAGCCATCAACAGAAGAACCACCAAATCTAGAGTTGAAAGTGCTTCCCTCCCATCTCCGTAGTGCTTTCTTGGGGGGAAATAATACCTTACTGCTGATCATTGCCGCTGATTTTCTTGATTGGAAAATAAAATTGTTCCTTGAGGTATTGAGAAGGCATATCAAAACTATAGGGTGGACTGTCGCTGACATAGTGGGCATTACTCCAGTATTTGCACTCACAAAATTCAACTTGACATGGATTGTAAGCCAATTGTTGAACATCCATGGAGATTGAACCCACTGATGCAAGAGGTGGTGAAAAATGATATAATAAAGTGGTTTGACGTAGGTGTGATCTATCCGATTGCATATAGAAAATGGGTGAGTCCGGTGCAATGTATACCGAAAAAAGGAGGCATCACAGTGGTCTCAAATGAAAAAGGGGAGCTTGTATCTTTGAGACCGGTGACCTGGTGGAGAGTATGCATGGATTATAGGAAGTTAAATTTGTGGACTGAAAAGGATCATTTTCCCATGCCCTTTATGGATCAAATGCTTGATCAACTCTCCGAGAGAGGTTGGTATTGCTTTTTGGATGAATATTTCGGTTATAACCAAATCTCCATTGCTTTGGAATACCAAGAGAAAACAACCTTTACGTGCCCATATGGTACTTTTACCTTCAAACGGATGCGATTTGGATTATGCAATACTCCGGCTACATTTCGACGTTGCATGTTATCTATTTTTGTTGACATGGTGAAGGATTCAATGGAAGTATTTATGGATGACTTCTCAGTTGTGGGTGACACTTTTGTAGCATGTTTAGAGCAATTAGGACGAGTTCTACAAAGATGTG